ACTATCTTACTGTAATATGTACTGAATCTACACTGTTATATATTAAAGATATTAAATTTAAACCCATTTCTTAAGCTAAATGACATTTTATTATTTTTAACTTTCAAATGTAACAAAATTTATTATTTGATTATAAAATATGTGATTAAAAAGACAATCACATCCAAACAACACATTTCCATAGTTGAATTGCTTAGGCCCAATTTCACAATATATGGTTACCTAAAGATTAAAGGTAACCAAGAAATTTATAAATGAATTTTATTGATGAATCTGTTGGTAACCTTAAGGGCCTGCGCACAATAGAGGAATAAGAATTAGATATTAAGATTTCAACCTATCAGAAACCATATATTCCCGATTCCGATGTAATCAGTTTCTGATAGGTTGAAATTTTAATATCTAATTCCTCTTCCTCTATTGTGCTCAGGCCCTTAATCTTTAGGTAACCGTATATTGTGAAAACGGGCCTTAGTTTCAGAGTAAATAGCATTTGTATTGGTCGCGTTTAGCAGACTCAACTGTTGTGGAACAGATCCGTGAGCACTCGCTGCTATTGGTGTATTCTTCTAGATCATCCAATAGCAGCGAGCGCTCACGGATCCGTTCCACAGCAGTTGAGTCTGCTGAACGCGACCATTGACGTATTTGTTTAGTAATAAATTACATTTGAGTCAAATTGGATATATTTCTTGAGAAAATTCATTGTTTTATTTAAATTAATTGTATATTGAGTATGGGCAGTGGCGACCTAGGAATGATTAAAAATAATTTAAGTTGGATATAATTTGACATTATGAATTTAATGTAATATAAGTAATCAAATTCGTAAATAGAAAATATAAAATATTACGTTTTGAAATTTTTCGTTCCACTCTCTTTCTCTCTCTCTCGTTCTCTCCAGAAAGAATCAAGAGAGAGTAGAGTGAATAGTGTTCTCTACTCTTATTGGTTCTGCTATTTTCAGGCTACTTCCGCAAATACGCACGCGCGCACATATATATATTTATACTATATAGGTGCGTTCCGATATTCATTGCCAGTGCTGAAATTGTACAGTACACGTTACGTACGCTATAGATTTTCAGCACTGGCAGTGAATATCGGAACGAACCCTATGTATTATAGCGCGTGACAAAGTGAGTTTGGAGTGAAACATAAGCAAAGAGAATTATTTTTCTTAGCCACTTCTACTAATATAGATTAAGTTTAATCTCGGTTAAATTTACTCTTTATCCTTTTCTAATTTTTAAATCTAAAAAAAAAGATAAGTTAAACCAAGTTTAAAGTTAATTTTCATTAATAGAAACAAGCATTGTGCATCATGCATTGACGTGTCTTGCGTCATAGCGCGAATTTTTGTTGCTCCCCCAATGTGATACTTCTTTCTGCGATCGCGACGTATACTTTCTGTAAAACCATCTACAATTTCGAAATCGCCTCATTTCAAATTTTTTCACGATCGTATACCGAGTGCATCCTTATTCCCGAGATGAATATATAGATATGATTATTTGCACTCAACAAGTCAGTTCAATTCCATGCAATTTCAAGATCGTTAAAAAAATTGTTTACCAGTCCATTGTACTTTTCACGTCTCGAGATCCGTCGTGATTCGACGACGTTGAAAAAACATCTCGATTAAGAATCTCGACTCTCGATCATCACAACGATGTGGATCTCGCAGAAGAGCCAGAGGTCGTCGCCGCGCGGTTTCTCGGTACAAAAAACCTGTTGCTTCGGCGGCCACGCGAGTCGGCCGCGTCTCGCGCGTCGTCACGGCGTGCAAAAAAGCGGGGCTCGCGGCTAAATTTGTGGGAGTCACGAAACCGTGAGTAGACGGTCCGCCTGTCAAAGATAAATTGATATAGGAGCGGCTGCGAATTTGCGGAAAGCGTGCACTGAGATGTCGACATTGCTTATATCCGCTAGACATGCGGGCGCGAGTGCGCTCACACTGGCGCTCGCACGTACAAACCAACGACACTTGTTATCGTCGTGACACGGACGTTGACAGAGTCCGAACGCTCAAGTATCTCTTTTTCTTTTTCTCTGGCTCGGAAAACAAGCGTTCGTCTCGGCCGAAATCATCGGCGATCGTGCGCGCGCGCGCACGCGCGTGCGTTACGCGGAACCGTGCGTTCCGGTCGCGGTTCCAATGTGTCTTCCAATGCTATTTGACAAACGTATTTCTCAATCTCGGATTTACACTTACCGTGAATGGCTAACCACGCTCGTAACACGGACGTTGGTACTTGGTGAATACGGCGAGGACGACATAACACGCGCACCACAACGAACCGGCCATATTGTTTACTGGGAAGAGATCTGAGACTGACTGACACAGCCGCTTGCGTTCGCCTCCGGTTAAAAGCTAACTGTGGTGCCATCTCATAAGCAACTAGAAACTAATATCGATCAAGTGTATAGTCGATATTATCAGAGAGAAATTGAAATCGAAGAATACATACACGATGACTTAAAACCTGTAATCGTAAAATGCCGCCACGCACTACTGTTCTCTGAAAAAGAGGATTCAAATTACATACAACTACATAGGCTCGTGTTCAGATTCCTACTCGGGTGTTCTTCGGGTGTCATGTCATCCTTGTTTAACGTTCGGTAAATAACAAGGATAGAGTGATACCTGGGTGGCACTTGGGTGGGAATCTGAACACAGCCTAGCAGAGAGAAACCTGAGGACATGACGGCCCAAAACCTGTAACCGCAAAATGCTGCCGCGCACTATTGCCCTCTGAAAAAGTGGATGTAAACTAAATAGCAAGATCCACTTGTCTGAGGGTACACTGCAGTGCATTAATTTGCTGGATCATAGTAGCGGCTCGACTTATCGACGTTCATTTTTTACTCAATTATTATCAACTTTACAGAAAAACTGCAAGAGGCAAAAATAATTTATTTTCTTCTCATAGAACTCTAAGAATTTTTTCAGAATTTTTAATCAACTTTTTAGTACTGCATTTTCTTATTTTTGATAAGTCGGGCCGCTACTATGACCCAGCGAATTAATGCACTGTACTGTACATACATATGTCCACTTTTCAAGGCTGTAGATGATAAATCGATATTTGGTTCGTATTATAATCGTACTATATTCATAAACTATGAATCATAAATATTCATCTTTGCAATCTTACATACGCGTGATGTTTACTTCTTTGCCGTTAGCAATATAGTAGTATTACATATATGGTTTTCCTACACCATGTTTCGAGTCCACTTTTTTCGTGACCGGCCGCTTGAGTTTGATCTCCTTATTACTCCGTGGGATCCCCTTAATGATTTTCTGCAAATTGCTCATTGCAAAATTAAAAATAAAAAAAATATTTGCATTGCTTCTTTAAACAATTAAAAAATTTTGTCATAATTTTTAAAGTAAAGTTTAAACTTAGAATTTTACAATAATTTAATTTTATCTTAGGTTAATAAATTCCTTGATAATAATTTCCCTAACTTTTCTCAGTTTTCCCAGTTTTCATGGTCCCTGACTACTTTTTAATTTCCCTGACCGCTAACAGCCCTGGTAACGCAAAAAAATTTTACATTTACGTACATGGAATTTTCTAAAAATATTGTTATTTATATCTCTCATCTCGTGAACAATTATTTATTAGCTAGATTTTCACACATACTAACATTATATCATTGTTCTAGGGAGCACATTGATGTAACGTAGAAACTAAGAAATATTGATAAGGATCCGATACAAGGATCGAAACGTATATATGTTAATACAATAAAGAATTTGACACACAACTACACCTAGTGTTTAGACTCGATTGGCATTGATACACACATTGATTTATTCATACGAGTCAATAATCAAAGAATTTTCATATTGGCAATTGTTTATGTTTTTTTAAAATTATTTCTAATATTTTTTAAATATTATTTAATGTTTTTAATTTAAATGTTCCAAATGTCTGTTGATTCAAATACTTTTGAATTCTTGTTCTGATATTGCAGTTGTTAGATCTTAAGGAACTCAAGTAGAGAATAAAAAATTTATTTAAAAAAAACATACAAATGCAGATATTCCTGTAGCAGAAATGAGATCAAGAAAAGACAGATTTAAAAAGGTATAGAAATAAAAAATAGCAAAAAAAGATTTTCTAAAAGAATTCACTAGCCTTGATCCATTAGCCAGAGGCATTCTAATTGAATTCTTGATGATTTCCAAAATTGATCCTTCTCAATCATGTCCCCCCCCAAAGAGAAAAGATTAATTTTCCATTGAAGGATGACTAGCCTCGAAAAGAGCCATGTCATCACTATCAACTTCTTGAAGCTTCCACAAGTTTCAAATATATGGAAGTTTCTTCTCGAATCTTCTATCAGATAAGGTACAATTACATGCCTGTTGCGTCTACATCCACAAATTAACGTAGAAAATACAACTTCTTGTAAAAAATCTCGCAACTCTCAAATGTATCATGTATCAAATGTATCATGTTTAGTACTAAAATCATAGTCTGCACAACCTAGCAATCAATCTTCCACACATGTGTTCTTTTTGGCAATCACGAATAAATAAAAAAAAAATTCAAACAAAACTTGATTAAATTGAAGAGAGAAATCCCAAGAAAATGATTTTCATGTGATTGAAAACAAATTTTATTCAAAGCCTTTCTATCTAAAAAGAAAGTTATTCAAGCCTATTTTATCTTATTATGAATCATCCTGCATTATATATCTTGAAAATGTATATGGAACTAGTCTATCCAAGTAGATCTGATTATATAAATCTAACCTTAACAAATATTATTTTTTATATTACATAGAAAATTAAAAAAAAATTAATATCTTCGTATACTATTTGCGCATTTCTCTTTCAATTTATAATCGAGATTTATATTAATGCAGACAATACTATCTCATAAAATAATAAAATAATAAATATTCATATATGAACACTATTCCTCCTGGATTTTACTGTTATCAATGTTCGTTGCGTAGCTATTTGTACGCTATTTATTCTGCTCTGACGTATTACTCTTGTGTTACTTGTAGTAGAAATTATCTGTAAATTTAAATAGCGTTATTATATTTAAGTGTTATCATATTCAAACAAAACGGTACAGTAGCACAAGTACCTTTATCAGTGTTTCCGTCTATATTGTCAGTCGACGAGGTATTTTGATTTGGAAGTAAATTTTTAGTCTGTATATCGCTTAATTGCGCAGATTTATTCGTGTTTATTGATTGCTCCGAAAGCAATTTATTCAACTGCGAAATATGTTGCTACAAAAAAGATATTAAATATTTGAAAAAAGTGTACAATTGATATCTATAAACAAACATTTATATTAAGTCTGTTCTTTTTCTATACTCCAGGACTAAACTGAACTGAACTACTTATATTGATTTTTTGTTTTTTTCTCTTCAACGTGGAAAGAAAAAGGAGAAAGATGAACAGTACGAAAAGTTCTGGGATATGGAAAACGAACAACGTATTGCTGCTCGTGCACGTGTTTTTTGAAACTTATGGTCTTTGTTGAAAATTTGGGAAGTCTGTAATCTATGTCGAAAATTTTGTAAAATATTGTATTACAAAAATTATAGGCACTATACATATTTTAAACAGATTTTAACCACTTTAATCTATCAGCCCTTTTACCTTTACACAGAGTAAGATGATATAAAAAATATATTCAAAGTTATATGATTTGACATCACAAGTAATAGAAAAATCAATTTTCGGACAAATCAATTTTTCATGATTACATAAAGATTACAGCCTTTTTTGAAAAAGCTATTAATTTTCAAACAAACATTCCTTAATATTTTTATGCACAAAATAATGAGATAAATCGATTAATGTAAGGAATTAAAACACACATAGTTACTTATTTAAAAAATTATCCATTCCTACATGTTTTTGTTTAAACAAAACAAATTTTTTTAAACCACTATGTATTTTCTAATTTCTTTATACCAATTGATTCATCTCATTATTCTGTTTACAAAAGTATTAAGGTACAATTATAAAAAAAATTAATAGTTTACAAGATATTTGATGTATAAAATGTCAGTATAAAATGTTAAACTATGCTAAAATAAAATGTAAAATATTTTAAAAACTATTGATTTTTCGAAATCTCTATTTTAATACTTTTTTACATGCAAAATAATTCGAGAAGAATGATATTATATGAAAAAAGCATACAATTTCATTTTAATAAATGGCCATAATCTCTATATGGACTCTCTATATTTCTTATAAAAAATCGTTTTTGAAACTTGATTTCACAATTATTTGTGTCCCATCAGATTACACAACTTTTGTGTGGACATTGTTTTTATTTGACCTTAACCTATAAACATAAAAGTCGATAGATTACAATGAGACTCCCTACATGTTTGTACAGGATGCTTCCGCAACCTACAATCTACATATCGGTAAGTCGGGTTGCTTATGGGCAGGGGCACGCTTTACTGGTAATCAGGGAGAAAGATTAAGGAGACTCCATTCAGTCTAACTAGTCCTCAGAAAATGGACCAATTTTGCATTTCGAGTTAAATTTCGATTCTCGACACTCGCTTGTGAACTTGGAAGTCCTGTGCATAATGAGTGCGCCATAAGAAAAAGTGTCACAAACGTAACTTAACTCCGTAAAGGCAATTTTATATGCGATTCGTCAGGATTGTCAGAAAGGACGATTAACCGCAGACCACGGAGTAATAAGATCAAACTCGAGGTCTGAAAGTGGACTCGAAACACGGTGTAGGAAAACACATGGAAAATCCAGCAGATGTGATTTTAGTGCCATCACGCCTTGCGGGAAAAGTTGGATGTATTGACTATCACGTGCAAATCTGCCGGATTTTCCATGGGTTTTCCTACACCGTGTTTCGAGCCCACCTTTTTCGTGATCGGCAGCCTATTTCTACGAAATTGGCTTGGTTCCAACCAAAGACATAGAGAATAGACTGCGCAATCCGTGTGTCAAAATGGTCGATAGGGATGAGAGAGAAGGACCGTGGCAGACGGCCAATTCTATCTCTTTCCATTCAATGGTGTAATGGGAGAGAGAATGAAAGGGGGATTGGCCGTCTCCCACGGTTCCTCTCTCTCATTATTGTCGACCACATTTGATACACTACTTAGATACGGATCGCACAGTCCATTCTCTTCTATGTCTTTGGTTCAAACTACCTGAAGACGAGTCCTGGGCCCCTATTCTGTAAGGGGCTTCGCACAATAAAAGGAAACAGGGAACAGAGAATAAGAATTTCAACCTATTAGAAACTATGTATTCCACAATACATGATTTCTGATAGGTTGAAATTCTTATTCTTTGTTCCCTTTTATTTTGCGGAGCCCCTAACTGTTTTTATACGCCTACCGACAATTATCGATGTCATTGCGCAAATATTTTATATGGTGAAAAAGCTGCGCAACGACACCGACAATTGTCAGTAGGCGTGTAAAGACAGTTACAGAATAGGGGTTCTGAGTACAATGCATCCCAATAAAGGGAAATATTTTTAGAATTTTAAATTATTATATTTTTAAAGTTTTAAAAATTTTTTGAGATAAGTTATAAGAATGCAATTAAAATAGGGGTTTCCATTTAAGAAATTGAAGATGACCTTCATGCAATCTTCAAAAGACAATCCAAGATCGAACTAACAGTATCATTTTATGTCCAATTCGAAGTGATAAAACATTTTTCGTATCTTCTTATATTTTTCAAAATATTATCTAGGGAAATTAAAATAAGATACCTTGTATAATAGTAAAATTAGGGACTTACTTCTTTACGAATAAGCTGTTGGCGATTTTTATATTCGAATTTATTTTGAGTGCTAGACAGTACAAAGTTCATCATCATATCTTGCTGTAAAAGCATATTATCCTGATTCAATGAAGTTGCTTTCATCATCGGATTTATTAACGATTTTTCTTCTTTTTCCTTTTCGTATTCTAACCAAGCCTGTTTGCGTTCCTCTTCATTCAATTCCTCTTCAGCCTGTTAAATATAAATTTGTCATACATCCAAAATATATGAACATCCATCTTATACGAAAGAAAAAATTTCTCACCTTGTTTTCCAATAGGGAGTCATGTTCGTGATAATTTTTCACGATATCCTTCAACTTTAGAAATATGTCTGCTAGTAGTCTATCTTTAGGTAAATTTAACTCAGATTTTTTTCTATCATCATACCCTTCAAACATATACAACTCGTTTACATTTTGATTGGTGTAATGCCGTTCGATCTGTTGTTCGTCAACGACACGACACGAAAGCGAGAGCTTCGTAATTTGACGATTGTAAATCTTTTCCTCCATCGTTCCCGTAGCGAGAATTCGATATACGTAGCACGGCTTCTTTTGTCCGAATCTGATAATCATTGTATCGACAAATCAGAGATAATTAATTTGAAATATGTAATGACAGAAAAAAAAGATTACGCAATGGAAGATGTCAAAAAAAGTACCTATATATCCGAAATATACTTTGTATGTCATGAGACGGGTTCCAACTAGCGTCGAATACAATCACTCTGTTCGCTGCAATTAAGTTTATTCCCAATCCTCCAGCGCGTGTGGATATGAGGAACAATCTTGCTCTCGTATTGGTGGGACTATTAAATATTTTACACCATATATCTCGATTTTTAGATGAAGTCTGACCATCCAATCGAAAGTAATCAAGTCCTAAGGACCAATTTCCGATATGATTATCGAGGGTGTCACAGGGTGTACCGTTTTGAGTCTGATCGTTTATTTTTCTTAAAAATTCCTCGATTAAGGTAAGAGAATATAGAGATTGCGAGAATACGAGCCTGTCAAATAATGAATAATAATACAATAATATATATATAGTGATGTGAAAATTATAATTTATCAAAAAATTAGGTACAAGATATACATACACTTTATCACCGATCTGTTCACATTCTTTTAAAATTCCGAAAAGAAGTAATAGTTTAGCTGACACTTTCATATCTTCAAAATGTTCGGGTTGTACAAACTGTGACCACCATTCTGTGACCACTTTAGGAGTTTCTTCCTCTGATTCCACTTCTAAAAAATCAATTTAATGTATATCTAATATCCTTATTTTATTTACATTTTATTATTTTATTTATTTGTATTTGATTTAAATATTTATAAGCGTTTGGTTTAAATGTATGTGTCACAGTCAAAGTATTAATTCAGTAAATGTAATACACTTAATAGTCAATGAATGCACATATTAATTTTTTTTTTAAGTAAATGTACATACACTACAATAAAATTTAAACTTTTACTAGTAGAAGCATACATTTTCACTTGATTTAGTAAAAGTATGCACAAAAATGTAATTTAAATGAACATTTTTGTTAGCAAAGGTGCAAACCAACTATATACTGTTGTAGCAAATGTATATATTGTTTAATAAATGAATGTATTTATTAAAATAAAGTAAACATTTTTTAATTTAGCTGATACTTTTGTTAAAATATTACGTAATATATACACATATATGTATATGTGTGTGCATGCGTGCGTATGTACCAGTAACTGTATACATTTACTAAATTTTACGCTTTTACTATAACACTTAGACATAAATTAAAATACGTAAAATAGCATTCTTGAATCATAGAAACTTACTGCCAGGATTATTTCTTGTACTACGTCTAAGAACATATGTATTATCTTTTTCACCATCGCTCGTCTGAACGTCACTGTCACTACTCGAATCGCTGTTGCTGGTATTCTCTGTATCGGTAGTATTGTCATCAATAAAATCTGTTATCGAACCCTCTGACTCGCTTAAAAATTCAAGTTTTTTCTCATTTAATTTTTCTATTTTCTCTGCATTCAGACGTAGAGCTACGGGATGCGTCCAGATTCTTTGTAATGCTTGAAAATCAGCGAAGAGACCTTGAACTTTTTGACCAGCTCTATATCTATTGAGAAAAAGTAATACTTTTGATCATACAAATTATTATATGTAACTTAATAATTACATTTTAAATTATTTAACCCGGGAGTGATCGCGCATTTTGCCGTACTCTTCCGTTTTCTATTTAATCTTTCAATTTATTGGCACTATTACATTTTTATCTTTACGTAAATGTTTGTTATTATTTTTTCTGTATTGTATAGTATGCGAAAATAAATGACGTAAACATGCTTATATCTACATAAAATTTGATATGTTTGTAACGGTCGGTCTAAAAGACCGTTGCGTGCGCGCACTTACATTAGTATTTGTTGTCTCCGCCAGCTCTGCCATTATTATATTTTTATAAATAAAAAATAAAATAATAATTTTTTTATTATTTTGTTACATATCAATAATTTTAATAAATAAAAAAAAAAGATAAAATTGAAATAAAGATATATCATATAAATACAATTATTTCCAGTAATTATATTATGTTCCTTTATTTTTAATTGATTAATATAAAGCATTATCAGAACGTTTTCTTATTATATTATCATTTATAGTAATTACAATTATATATGTTTCTAATTATAAGTATATATTCTAGAACATATATGTGCAAAAATATATTTCCGTTAAAATGACCAGGACGCGCCTACTAAAGTTAGTTTCGAGACGCGTCTACTCCCAGATTAAATAAGAAGAAAATGCAACAAAGATACGAGGGTCATTTGAAAAGTTTCGAGCCTCAACATGAAAATAGCATTACTCGTCAAAACCATTCTGGTACTACATGTTTTGCAAGATACTTGTGAAAATTGTAGCCATTTTGGATGCTCAGTCGTTATTTGAGAGTTATTTGTGACAGTCGATGTCACTGTTTTCGTTTGATAAAAATCTGTATCCTCCGAGCCTAATTTTGAGCCTAGGAAACAGGAAAAAGTCGTTGGGGATCAGATCTGGTGAATACGGTGGGTAGTAAATTAATTCGTAAATTTTTGTTATGGCGATCGTCGATATTCGGTTTTTTCCATTTTTACAAAAACACTGACATCGACTAACACAAATGACTGTCAAACAACTGAGCGTCCAAAATGGCTATAATTTTCACAGGTATCTTGCAAAACATGTACGATTGTAGTACCAGAATGGTTTTGATGAGTAATGCCATCTTCATGTTGAGATTCAAAATTTTTCAAACGACCTTCGTATAAGATTTTTCAGAAACTTACTTGGCGAGATTATTCAAGTAATATTGATACATTTTAATTTGCGTGTCTGTCAGTCTGACAAAAATAACATATTCTTGTTTGGGCGGCAAGAACGGTGTAAGAACAGAGTAATCAAATCTCTGTACGCTACCCTCTAACATTTTGTGCAACACATGTGCACGTTGTTTCATTAATTTAACATCAGAAGAAGTAGAATCGTCAAACTGACCGTTTTCTATAGGATTTACAAATCTGTTTAAAAATTCTTTCTTTGTACCTAGTAGATTGGGTTTCACGAATTGCATCATACAATGATCTGCAAAATACAATTAAATAGATGTAAAATATTTTTTTAAATATACGATTACAAAAATGTTTTATAAAATATTTACATTCTATTAAATTATTCTGTAATGGTGTCCCAGTAAGTACTATGCGTCTCATTGTTTTCACGCTTTTCATGCATTTACTTAAAGCAGTATTTTCATTCTTTAATACATGGCCTTCATCACAGACAATAAGATCAGCACCTGGATCAACTAGGCATTCTAACATCACATTCTTCATATTTTTCCGTATCTTTTTATTTGAATTCGTAAGATTACGGAACATTTCATAGCCAATGATCATAACACCACCGGTTTTTTGCCATTTCTGCAGTTCATTTCTTCTTTCAACATTCTTCTTAAATCTGAAAATATTTTTTTATTTGAATAATATCTGTCATATCAAACTTTGATGGCGAAATTGTACTATAGTCTTTAGATAACAGTTACAAATACGATAAAATATGTAAAACAACACTTGTAAATGTCGAGTATCAAATACTCACTTTGTCAGTTCGTACACTTCGATATCGTCCAAATCCTTCAGCCATATATCGTATTCATTTAGCCAATTAAGTATCGTATTTAGTGGGCAAACTATCAGTACTGTTTTGATGTTTGTCTCGCGAGTGAGAAGTGTATGAGTCAGAGCGATCACTTGTAACGTCTTGCCCAAACCCATGCAGTGTGCGAGTATACATCCGGATCCAGATGTAGTCTTTACTCTTTCTAGAGACTCGAAACAAGCGTCCCACATAAATTTGATGCCTTGCGCTTGATGTGGTTTAAGATGCTTCACCAATTTCTCATGTATAGTAACAAGCTCCTGTTTCGTTTTTGTATTGAAATCTAGAACGAGCTTGTCCACTTTTTCTTCATTGGCAAGTCTCATCTCATATATCTTATTGTACTATATAATAAAAGGTAACTACATATAATAATTCTATTAGTGATAAATGAAAAATGAAAACATGATTGCGGGATATACCAGAGCTTGACGTTCAACGAAACGTTTAAGTCTCTTTTGCTCTTCCTTAGCGACTAGTTTCGTATCTTTCGCCACTTGCTTGTCTTTCAGAACTTTTCGTATATTTTTGCGGCCATCCTTAACGGGTATAGATCTTTGCAAGTTCTTCATTTCTACGTCAATGTTATTACTATCAGATGCCATTTTCTTGATTCGTTTTCGTTTCAATTTTGATCTATAAATTACATAAATTTAAACGTATAAGATAGAAATAAAATAGATAGACAAATGTAATATATATTTTGGAATATAAATAACAGAGGTATATGACCGTGAGCGGAGAAAAGGTAACAAAGTTAATTAATACTCGCGGTCGTTAAAAGACAATTCGTTTATTCAGTGACTCTGCAATTACAAAACTTATTTCTACAAGAACTGTCCGTTAAATGCCACGTCTGTGCTCATGAGATCGCTCGTCCTCTCCTGTTCGAGAGCTTTTCTGTAAACACAATGTTTTCTCCACGAGTTATTTATTATTCGGTTTATAGTTATTACAATTTTAAATAGACATTTTATTGTTATAATTTTAAATTTACGAAAATAATCGATTAAATCTTGGAAATTAGGAATCAAGTAGAAAGAGTACATTCCACTTTAAATGCGCGTCAACATACATAGAAAAAAGATACTCGCGAAGCGTCATCCAAAATCTGAGAATAGAATACATTTAAATATCTACGGTATTTGTAGAAATCAGTTGTGTTTACAAGTAATGTATATGAGACGTGTATACATATATTGTAAAAAATTTAGAGAAATCAGGCACAATAGAAAGACTATCAGAGTCAGTGCTATATGGCTTGGTAGCAAAGACGAATGTCTAGCAATATAGTGACCAGGCTTCGGTTCAAATCCTGAAGCATCCTGATATTTTTCTCATGTTGTCATTTATTTATTACAGGATATTGCAAGCTTGTATGCATGAATTTCCGCGAAACCATCGCACGCTCGGCCTCTGTAGTCGTGGCGCTGCAATAGACGCCACATTATTAACTTACCTCTTCTCTGCAAGCGAAGAATCTATATTTGACGAACCATTGCGTTTACGTTTTAATTTCTCTTTTTCTTTTCTTGTACTATATGAATCTTGTACATTTGAAGCTTCAAAAATGTTATTAAAATCTAAATTTTCTGTCATTATTTTTGAATCCGAATTAAAGATTCTTTGCACGGCCTTCTTCTTATTCTTCTTTTTAAACTCGAAAGATTTGTCTTCGTCAGAATCGATGCTGCAACTAACCGGGAACAAGATTGTACATAGAAAAAATAATTTGAAATTGTTTTAACAAATTAAAAATGTTTGTATAATCAAATAAGCAGGAAATGGAAGAGTTACTATGCCGCTTTGTATAACAATTTAATAATTACGTTACAATTTTTTGACTATAATGGTCACATTCATATATAAAATGTATTATATTTATTTTTATTATCTCATGCAAAATTAAATTTTGCTTCTTTAATATATAATCTTATTCCATAAATCTCTCTTTCTCTTAACTAGTATATAATTCATAGCATGTAATTCTATCATGTATTTGAAACTCTAATATCAATTAGTAATTCAAATATGATGCGAAACAATAGACATAGATTTTATAGAATATACTTGATACCTTTTGAGTTCCTTACGTTCTAGATACTCTCTTGGTTTTTTCAACACACGTAAATTATATTTGGGAATTTCTATGTTTAATTGCGCTGAATGAATTTTGTGGGACATATTCAATTTCTTATCATTTTTGTAGTGATTTGTATCGAGTTCGAGTCTTCTATTTTTTTGTCTGGAGACAATAGATTCTTCATCATTCTCAGGCTCATGATTACGTTTAATATTCTTCGAGACATTTACCATTTCAAATAGAGTCGATTCAGAATGAAATTTATCCCTAGAAGATGGTACGAGTGATAGTTCCTCTTTGGCATTTTGTTTTGCTGTGTCTGTATTCTCATAATTTTTGCTGTCAGAAGAACATATACAATCATTTGTTATAGGTTTCACAATTTTTTCAGACTTATTATGTTTAATTGTACGTTTTCCTGTTTTATTCAATAACATATTGCTGGAATCATTTTTTGAATCATTTGTTTTATTTTTCTTCAATGTATTTTTTTCCTTTACTAATTTTGAAACTTTCGACGTAGAACGAAAATTCCGTATAGATTTCGCTTTTTGATCTCTCTCGCTCTTACTTTGTTTATTTCTTTTAGATAAGATAGATGAATTTTCGTTTGCACGAGACGAATCCTTGCTGGATGAACCAGTTAGATCTACTTCCAACATTTTTTTTTGCTGAAGGGAGTTTATATCGTAATTCGACAATTTCTTTGCGTGAACTTTACAGAAACAAATAATTTTTCGGAAGAATTTTTATCCTCTATCATATAATAATTGCAAGATTTTTTGTACCTCTCCGGTTTTTTCTATTCGTTATATCTGAGATGGTAAAATATATTTTTCAATGTTATATTGCTTCTTCTCTTGTCCTTTCTGAAACAGAAAATCCAATCCATATATACATACAGGTGGTGACAGATATGCCTTAACATCTGAAATTATAAGTATTGGGACATATTCAGAGCACGCTCTCCGTCTCTAGATATTCGTACTACATAATCTAGAGAACATGCTTTGAATATGTCCCAATACTCCAAAGACAGAGAATGGACTGCTCGATCGTATCTAAGTAGTATGATGGACAAAAATGAGAGAGAGGGACTGTGAAAGATGGCCATCTCTCTCTCTCTCTCTCTCTCTCTCTCTCTCTCTCTCTCTCTCTCTCTCTCTCTCTCTCGTTATATCGTTGAGTAGAAAGAGATAAAGATTGGCCGTCTTCGACGGTCCCTCTCTTTTATTTTTGTCGACCATACTACTTGGATACGATCCAACAGCCCATTCTTTATGTCTTTACAATACTCGTACAATTTCAGGTGTTAAGGGGATCCTATGGCTCAAAAGTGAGCGGAAACATGTAATCGGATTAATTACTAATAAAGTTGTTTTGTTAACTGTATTGGTTTGCACAAGAATTACCGTGACTCCTATTGCCCTGTTATATCCAACCATTTTGTAACAGATGTACCTGAAATAATACCCACTAATCATGTAGTACTTTTCCTAATAAAAAACTGAGTCGAAACATCCTCTACCACTTTGTAATTTTCGGAATACTTTTTTTTAGTTACCCAATGAGCAAAATATCTGAAATCGATGTACAGGATAACTTTAAGATATCTTTAAGAGTTTTTTAAGAAATGTCTTCAAAATATTATATTTCACAAGGAACACTGAAAGTGTTTTTTCGATCTTATCCATCGATTTTATCCAATTTTTCGGCAATCTTTAGAAATTAATATCTCGTTGCCTATTGCCAAAAGAGGACTTTTCGACTCACCTTTTTATCAAGAATAGCATTGTATGATTAGTGGGCGTTAGTACACCCTGTATACACAGACCAAACATTCTGTCCATAGCTTGAAGTCGAAAAGTGATAGTTTATGTGGCGTTTAGGAACCGTAATATCTCTTTCTATTTTGATGAGAGCAGTCCGAAAGAGTGACTTAGCATGGGTCCAAATGCCATAAATTATCAATTTCTGGCTTCATCCCCCACCACTAAAAATCATAGAAATCTTGGTCCATGTATATATGTTGTTACAAACAACATACACATACGTATATGTATTACATATGATTATCTACATATGTATTATTTATATAATATTGTAATAGTATATATATAATTGTATATACATATGTATTATATACAATGTTAAAAAAAGGATGGAACCCCGGATTTACTCGGGAGGATGACGTTTTTGAAAGAAATGTTTCAGACAAAAGTTGTTTGAGTATAAAGTGTCAGGGTACAAAAAGATTTATTTACAGATCTTATCAGTTTGACCTTGGGTTGTGTCATCAAGGTCAGGTCAAAGCCAAATCAATTTTTTTACATGGAACGCTATTTTTGATGCCAGAATCTAATTAACTGGTATTAAGTGCTTTTTAAAACATTATAATAAAGTTATTTTTCATCAAACATTTTTCGTGTTATAACACTTGAAAATTATTTACAGGCAATAGGAGTCGACGCTGGTTATCAATTAGCGCAATTTTTCTTAATACTAAAAATATAAACCTTAACTTTGAACGTTTCCGCTCATGGTTTGAGTCTTCATCAGCAATCTTTCCCCCTAGCGCAACTATTTTTAGCATTAAGAAAAATTGCGCTAATTGATAACCAGCGTCGACTCCTATTGCCTGTAATATATTTTTTATAGTTTCATTAATTGTTTTAATTAAAGGAGTCTATAAAAACTTATTAGTTTTTATTAATTTGTAATTTATCATTACTCTTAACCCTTCCGTCCACTACAGGGGTCTTTTTCGACCCAAGCGAAATTTCAAAGTGTTGTAACTTTTGAAAACGGGCACTGAAGGCGCCATATCCCCTCCCTGATTGTTACTCGCTTATGACTCACTAATGATTGAGACTTCAAGTTGAAGGTTGAAAGAAGTTCCATGAATTTTTTCAGATTTTTTAAAGCACTTTTACTGGTCCAAAAAACGCCAAGACGACCCCCGTAGTGGACTGAAAGGTGCCGAAAAAACGTAGTGGACGGAAGGATTAAGACGGTTTTGAAGGATGGACTGTAATGAATACAGACTTATATCATTGCATTAATAAATTATAAGACAAAGTTAACCTACCATGAAAATATTTCCCGCGAAAACCTAGTTCTTGTGTAGTTGCCTCGAATTGTTTCCTGAAAAATGATGCAAATGAGCAAACGACGTACGAGTTGTAACTTGCAACATTGACCGTTGTAATAATTACTATGGTCGTATTTCGATATACACTACCTGTATTGAAGTTCTATAGTATACGTGAATCATAGATTTTAAGTACTGGTAATGTATATCGGAACTCGGCCTATATCTCTTCTTCAACGAACTTGCATTATACATGAAGTTATTACAATTAAAGCTAATAACATTACTTAGTATTTCTCTACATTAAACAAGATTTTACCTTCCACGACACGATCGCAACAAGAATCAAGAACTGAAAAACTGCACAGAACCGACTGCACAAATAACGCGGGCTAGATTTGGCTCAGTGCTGTCAACTTTCAAAAAACAGTAAAGCTAGAACGCTAGATTCTAGAAGACACTTTGAACAGAGAGGAATCTGAGAGAGGACATGACGGCCCAAAACCTGTAACCGCAAAATGCTGTCGCGCACTACTGCCCTCTGACAAAGTGGTTGTAAACTACATAGCAACGTCCACTTTTCTTAGGGTACATCATCCATTTTTCAAGGCTAGAGATGATAAATCGATATTTGATTCATATTGGCTGCGTTCGGGAAGCGCGTTATCAACGCTATTTGTGTCACTTATCCTTATTTCACGTTTAAGGGGATGCTGGAGTGACGGTCGAAGTTAATCAAAGTCGATAGTACAGACTTTTTTACATTCCAAATTCGATAATAGTGACATCTTTCATTCATTTCTTATACTTATCTATATCGTTGTGTCTCGCTCAAACGCATTCATCTGTCCTTATCTGACGTATTGCAACGTCATCTCTTAGAAAGAGATCAACTAAAATACTGCACGGTTTCATGGCTTCACGTCAATTTTATTCGTAGTATACGAACGAAATTTTTGGCGACTCTTTTCTCTTGTACCAAAGCCTCTACATCGTTTCTAAAAGCATAGGATTGTTGTTCAAGGTTTTCTGTAGGCTGCTGGCTACTTATTTTAAACGGGTAAAATCTGAAACTCTTATATGCAGCACATATTGTGACGAGTTGACTGCAGGAGCCGGTGACAAAACTACAATTTTTAATTTTCTTTCATTTTTCGCGTTACATTGTAGCTGGCAGCCTGTGTTGTTGTCGATACTTTGATTGTGGAGAAGGACTTTTCAATCCATAAACACAATTAAGAGAAAAGAGTCTTTAAAAATTGATGGTAAAACAGGACACTCCAGCATCCCCTTAATGGATGACGAAGATAGAATGACACAAATAGCGCTAATAGTGTCTCTCCGAACCCAGCCTATATGTTTCTGTGAATCTGTGAGTGAAGCTTCGCTGCATGAAATAGCACCTTAATTCTCTGGCGGTTCCAGGTTCCAGTGTTTCGAGGCTAAGGTTACAAAAAGAAGAGTATTTTCTTGAAGTCATTGTTAACCAATGTCGACTACATTTTACCATTATTTTTTACATCATACGATAAATTAAGAAGTAAAACTGATATTTAAAGTGTATAATTCCAAGTTATAACATAACCTGTACGAACTAATAATGTATGTAAACATGCATAATAAATACTAATTTCTCTGTAGAATCGATATTTTTAATCGAAATAATCATGAATTAGTTCACAATATTTAAGTCGAGTAATTGGGCAATATATAAAATCTGAGTCGTTACTTCTAGATGTATATGTGTTAAAAAACGTGGAAACTAAATAGTTTTGAAAAGTCTTGTTGCTTTTGCTTAGAAGTATGTTTGCTCACGTTCGACAGAGACTATTGTTTAATACGGTAGTCAAATATGGCAAACAGAAAAAATATAGTATATCAGCTGTCAGCGAAGTTAAAAATGAAGCCAAAGATGTAGAACCAATATATCCATCCATTGAAGATATAAGCTTTAAAGCTAAATGCAAAAGGAAAAGGCAAGCTTGGCATGAGGAAATCAAGAGCTTAGAAACTGTGGAGGAGAAGCTATTCAAGATTAATATGCCACGTTATTATGGCTGGAAGTCGCTAATCCTAAAAGAACATGTTGTACCATATAATTCTTTGTCACATGCGCAATATTTTACAAGAACACATATCGTCAAGGAATTTGGTCTGCCAGCATATTATAATACTGTAATTTCTATCGAACAATTAGATAAAATAGTACAATCAATCAAGAGTGACATAGAGGATAACATAATTTTTGAACATTGCATCAGAAGGTAGGTATTTCTGTGAATTGAATATTCTTTTCTTTATGATGTAATATATAAACTATAAATTATAATTAATTATCTGATTATTCACTGTTAATTAATATATATGTGTTATTTTAATATTTGAAAACTTTTCTTTTCAATATTAATATATTATATTATTACAGAAGAGAGCATGAAATAAAAGCAGATAAATTTCCATTGGATGAAAACATTAAGACTTTAGACAGAAAAATAAACATGGAAGAAATTATATCTAAATCATTAATTCACAGAATTAATAGAACAATGCTGATACATCTTACCTCTGAAAATCCACATTTATTACACACCGAAGTTGATTTCGAACCAAGATTAGAAGCATCTTGGTTTATGGGTGGTATAAACCCCCCTAATTTTGTGAGGAATTTTAGAAAATCTGTTAAATTTCTGAAGAAATTTGTTGATGACTCAGTAAATTTGCCTGTTCAATATTTTGGTCAACCTGTCGTACATTTGAGACATAAGCATCCTCTGCGACAGATTATTCCCTTAAGCGATTGCGAAAATTCAGCTTTGGAAGTGCCTACATTCAAATTGAATCCCAAGGTATTAAATTATACTTTTGAAAAGAAACACTTAACTAATATACCTGGATTTTGGCCTGGCGATGAAAATGAATTCGGACTTTTATCGTATCATAATTGCACGTACTTGCAAACAAGGCCAGAAAAATATAATGATACATCTACAGCACTCACAATACAGGCTATATTAGCATCTTATAGCTGGTTATTGTCGCAAGCCTGTTATCAAGGTACTTTTGTAGTTTAAAATTATAATTTAAATAATTTGAATTTCGAGTTTTACACGTCTAAAATTTCAGGTTTTTCTACTTTTAATGATATTACGTATCCATTAACTACTCAGACGATTATAACAAATGGACAATGGTGGTCATTTTTTGTTTATCAACTTAATACTACTTTAGTGCATTCTGAGTACGCGGATGAAAATTCAAAGCGCAACATATGTTGGATTACAGAACCAATTAAATTATTTGATAAAATAGAAAATGAGAAAGTTCATGGTTTAAATGAAGAAGTTCTCAAAACTTTAATTAAGTTTTACATGAATATTCCTGAAGAAAGAGTAGGCGTAAATTTAAAACCATATTTAGGGAAATCCGTGAAAGTAATAGCAGACATCGAACATGATGAAAGAAGAAATTGGCTCGAAAAACAGTATAAGCATCTAGTGGCTAACAGGCCGAGGCACAGGTAAAATAACATTAAAGTTATTTTAATAATTATACCCTTTTTATTATATTTTTAATGTTAACTGATAGTAAAAGGGAATTATGTTTATATTTATTAATTTGTTATATCTTTTTTTAGACGAATACCGGAAATATATGATTGGCAAAAAATCTATATTATTAAACATAAAACTCGTCCAATGGATAAGAAACGAGAACCTTGGGAATTTGGCATTAAAATGTACAAACGTACATTAGATGATC